GGACTTACAGACTTAATGGTAGGGTCCCAGGGAGCGTTGCTGAACAAAGAGATTTTGGGTTCATTGTTCCTTGAAGGTGGAGTCACAGGTGGACAGAGTAGTGAAGAAGGCGTTTGGTACTCTTGACTTTATTGGTCAGTGCATTGAGTATAGGAGTTGGGATGGTCATGTTGTGGCTGTACAGAATATTGGTTGGGCCAATTCATGAGAGGAATGGATAGGGTGAATAGCCAAGGTCTTTTTCCCAGGGTAGGGGAGTTGAATACTAGAGGGCGTAGGTTTTAAGGTGAAAAGAGAAAGATATAAAAGGGACCTAACAGGCAATATTTTCATGCAGAGGGTGGTGCGTATATGGAATGAGCTGCCAGAGGAAGTGGTGAAGACTGGTGCAATTACAGCATTTAAAAGGCATCTGGATGGGTACCTGAATAGGAGGGTTTAGAGGGATATGGGCCAAATAGTGGCAATTGGAACAAGATTAATTTAGGATATCTTGTTGCCATGTACCAGTTGGGTCTGTTTCCGTGCTATATAACTCTATGACTCTATAACAGAAACAGACATTAGGCCACTTACATGCATTTAATACCTGCTTCTGATGTGGATAATGGAGACCTCTCTATGACCAATACTGTCTGGCAGTATCCTCAGTAGAATTGTACATGTACAGCATGACTCCAATTTGGATACAAGATGGTACCAATTGTTCTGAAATCCCCAATTGCTATGGAGTTGAATTTCTACCTCACATGTTCTTTTGTTTTATGGATTCTGACATGTTAGTGCTCATTTGTTCTTTGCATGATACAACAAGAATTCTGTTACAAAAACAGTTTTTTCAGTGTTTTGTCAGCTTTAATGTATATCATTGTATCTCCAGCCTACAGATAGAACACCTTTCTGTTTTGATATGCCCTGTTACTTACTTCCTCAAGGCAACTCATCACAGTTTAATATAGCCTGCCCATCATTGTACTATTTGATATTGCAATCCATTCACTGTACTGTAATCCATAACTTAAATAATTTCAAATTATTTTCCTGTATTATACTTTCCTTTATATCAAACTTTAACTACTAATAGCATCATTAGCATTATACTTTTTGGGCAATTAGCCTGAATTTCACTGATTGCTTATTAATTTTACACTTTTTACACTTCATTGAAATGTCACAGTATATTGTGGATTTTGTGCTTCATGTTTCCAGCAATGAAAGCCACGCTTTTGACTTTTGGGTGTTCAAATATACATTGTCTTACATTGCTCTCAATTAGCTTGTAGTGCCTAGGTTAAGAATGTTAGTGAACAGTAACTGTTCTCCTATTCAGGCAGGGCATATGACTAGGCACAACGCTTTCTCAGAAGTATATAGAACATCACAAGCTAATGTTGGCTAGTCTTGCACACAGTTATTGTCAGATTGGATTCCTAAATTCCCACAATGAAAGGAATTCACAACAAGGCCTTTTTTTCATTTACAAATATCTACTACTGCTGTCAAATGCTTAGGGAAGGTTGACAAGACAAAATCTTTTCAATTGAATCTAGTTCCACCCTTATGTGGGTGAGTGATTGAGTGAATAAACTGACAATACTTTGTGCAAAACTCTGTGGAAGCCAAATCTGGATTTTGGGAGTTAATTCTTCAAAGTTAGAGCAGTGTTGATGTCACCTGTGACTTCACTAAGACTTCAGAACGCATACAACCCTCACTCAATACAATTACTGACCAGATTTAAAGGAAACACACCTTCCATTATGGTCAACAACTGAAACAGAAATCGCTGGAGGATCTCAGCAGGTCTGGCAGCATCTGTAGAACGAGAAACAAATTTAATGTTCGAGCCTGGTGACCCTTTGTCAGAACTGGACATAGTTAGGAAAGGATGGTATTTATGCTGGAGACGGGCTGGGCATTGAATAGAATACATGGAGACAGAGCCCAGATAGGTAAACAAAGAGATTGTGATGATAAACCGAGCAAGAGATAATTGCTGGGTAGCGTGCTGATAAGAAGTGTGAATGGTTGAAAATGGGTTAGCTGTGCTGGGAACAGCCTGTAGAAATCAGGACCTAGTGTTGTGTGGTTATAGTAACACACTGAGGATGTGGGGGACAGGTACTCACATTCTGAAATTGTTAAACTCAATGTTGAGTCCTGCAGGCTGTAAGTTGCGTAGATGGAAGGTGAGATGTTGTTCCTCCATCTTGCGTTAAGCCTCACTGGAGCACAGGAGCAGGCCTGAGACAGAAAGGTGTCATAGGAAATGGTGGCATGTTGAAGTGGCAGGCAACCAAAAACTTGGGGCCATTATTACAGACAAAAGTGTAGGTGTTTGGCAAATCAGTCACCCAGTCTTCATTTTGTCTCTCTAGTGTTGAGGAGACTGCACTGTGAGCAGCAAATATAGTAGACTATATTGAGTAAAGTGCAAGTAAATCACTGTTTCACCTGGAGCGTGTGTCTGGGGCCTTAGATAGTGAGGAGGGAGGAAGTAAATGTGCAGGAGTTATACTTACTGTCATTGAATGGGAAGATGCCATGGTGGTGTGGGAGGTGTTGGGAGTAGAGGAGGAGTTGACTAGGGTGTCCTAGAGGGAATGGTCTTTACAGAAGGCTGAGAACGGAGGGGAGGGGAACATGTGTCTGGTGGTGGAGGTACTGAAATGGTGGCTTATAATCATTTGGACACAGATGCTGGTGGTTGGAAAGTGAAGAGAGGGGGACCCTATTGGTTTGGTGAGAGGAGATGGAAAGAGTGACAGTGGAAGTTTGGATATGGCTGAAGGCCCTGTGGACGACAGTAGCAGGGAATCCCTGTCTGTGGCATAAGGTGGATATTTCTGAGGCACCTCCGCGGCTGAACTTGAGATGGCAACTCTGCTTTCTCTCCACAGATACTGCCAGACCTGCTAAGTTTCTCCAATACTTTCTGTTTTTGTTTTAGATTTCCAGCATCACAGTTCTTTGTTGTTATTCCGTTATGGTCAGTTGATGTACACGCTGTGTTCAAAAAATTGAAACACTGCAAACAATCTTCTTCTCACTCCAAATTACTCCCTCTTTTCTTTCAAAAGCACTGCTAGGGTCTTGTTCTAAGGACAAAAATCGTGCTTTGCCATTTCACCCCAGTATGTATTATTAAGTTTTACAGGCAAGGACAAAGAAGAATAGGCCTATCTAGAACAGGTTTTGTTAGCTTGTGAACAGGTCCACAAACTTGGGCCAAACCTCCAATTCTTAACTCAACTACATTTAGCAAATTCTAGACAGATCTGTGACTAAATCAATAGCCTTCTTCACCCCAAAGGTTAAACTACTCACAAGATAAATTCACTGATCTATTGAGAGATGAATTATTTTCTTTTTATTACAGCGCTCCTTTGCTATCACATTATAGTTTGTGAAACGTTGTAATGGGCAATTTTAATTTCAGAAGCTCCAAGGCAATTCAATAATATTAGCCATATAAAAAGATGTACCTAAAAAACATAGGGGAGAAAAATCAATGTGAACAGTGGAATCCATTTGCTGTTGCCTCAGGGAATGGTCTAGTGATGCTTTATCACTACATTGGGTGCACCAAAGTCAAATAAATAGATACTTCCTCAGTCATACAAGCAACAACAAGAAACATAACTTCTTCCTCCTTCCTGAAGCCATGTACACACAGTACTGGGCAACTGCTTACCTACCCTTCTGTTTTGTAAGTTTTGTATGTATAATTCATTCGTCTCACAACTAAGTGTCTCCAAAATTACCTCGTAAGCACTTGAATGCTTCATATATTCATCTAAAATTCATCTCTTCATAATTTTAGCACAGTCATTAACACATTTAAAATAAATGAATCTATGCTTTTGCTAAAAGAGCAGATGTGTTAAATGGTTCCAATACCAGCACTGTCATGCTCAGTAAAAGTCTTTCATATTCATGACTTTAACAGGGACTAGACCCATATGGAAACTTTTAAAAATGTCTGTTTTAAAATGGATAACTGGTAAACTTTAAAATGGCTGTCATGATTCAGGCACCTTCCCTTTGTTCAAAACAGGTCTCCCCTTGAATCTGTCTGTGAAACCTACATTTGTTAATACCTGGAGTTTCACCCAAAACACAAATAGAGACTCCATGATTTTGAATTAGCACCCCAGCAATGAGGGCTGGGCAGCAACAAATTCACCTTAAGTAATTGTGAAGAAGTCTCCATGATCTTCAGTGTATAGCAACGGCTTTCACTTAAGTTCTGCTGAGTAGACAATACCAGTATTGACTGTGACGGAAATTGGCTGTCTATAATGACTTTTGATCTCAAGACCAGAAAAGACCTGCACAGCTGGCAAGACAGTTGAAGGTTGCAAGAGTTTCAGCAGCAACAAGGCTGAACCATCTTTCTATTTTTAACACGAAGACAAGAAAGTATTTATAAAGCCTCTCAGACTAATTACACACTTTGTCCATCTGCAATTTCAGGTTCAGTGACCCTTCCTCAGAACTCAGAATGTGTTCTGAGGAAGGGTCACTGGACTGGAAACTTTAACTCTGCATTCTCTCCACTGATGTTGCCAGACCTGCTGAGCTTTTATAGCAATTTCTGTTTTTGCTTCTGGATTTCCAGCATCCAGAATTCCTGCGGTTTTTGGTGCATATATTCTTCTTTTTGTTATTAATATAAACAAAGAGTGCTTGAAATACTCAGCAGACCTGACAACAGAGAAGCAGAATTAAAACGTTGAGTTGCTTATAACACTTCTTCAGATTCTTCTGTTAAAAAGAGGATTCATATTCAACTCAATGCATTAACAGTTTTCTCTCTCCACTGATGCTGCTAGATCTGTGAAGTATTTCCCCACTTTGTGTTTTTATTTCAAATTTTCAGCATCAGTGGTATTTTCCTTTTATTCTTTCTTTAGTTGCTCATCTCTCGATACTTTTATGAAGAAATAGATCAATGATTCTTTCATTTAGGAATAAATAAGCATTTGAAGATCACTTACTGGCTTTAAAACGGCCTCTGGTTTGGGTTCATTTCTCGGCGTGTCCTTGGTGATTTTTCCCTTCGCAGGAACGGGACTGCTGTCTTTGCTGTTGCCACCCATTTCACCAACATCAACCCCACTGTCCTCACTGAGAGTTTGCCCACTGTCAGATAACTGGGAGAGGGCAGCAGCTGGTGGGAACAGTGGCATAATTTCTGTTATTGATAGAAAATAGATTCTGCTCAATCCCTAGTCACATAAGTAAAAAGATATGAATAGCATATTGACCCATAAACATCAGTACTAATGGGTGCATATTCTTTCGCTGTACTGCTTTGGCCTTGGAAGTATTTTAATGCACAGAAACAGGATGGGTTATCTTGAAATTGGCTAGGCACTGGTAACTTTATTGTGTAGTCTGCACTAATCTCTTCAATTTCAGCTCTACTTTCATTTCTTCATGACCAACGTAGGAAAATGCAGCTAAGTAATGGGTAATGTTGTGCCTTTATTTAAGAAAGGCTGCAAGGAAAGGCTAGAGAACTAAAGATCAGTGAGTCTGATGTCAGTGGTGGGTAAGATGTTGGAAGGGATTCTGAAAAATAGGATTTGCATGCATTTGGAGAGGTAGGGTCTGATTGGGGATCATCAGCATGGCTTTGTGCGTGGGAACTCCTGTCTCTCAAACTTGTGCTTTTTTAGGGATGTGACCAAGAAGATTGATGAAGGCGGAAGAGTAGACGTTGTCTACATGGACTTTGACAAAGTTCTGCATGGTAGACTGTTTAGTAAATTTAGATCACATGAGATTCAAGGACAGCTTGCCAATTAGATACAAAATTGGCTTGATGGTAGGAGACACAGGCTTGTTTTTTGGACTGGACGCCTGTGACCAGTGGTTTTCTGCAGGGATTGGTGCTGGGTCCACTAGTGTTTGTCATTTATATAAATGATTTGGATGAGAATATAGGAGGCGTGGTTAATAAGTTTATGGATGACACCACCAATTGGTGAAATAGTGGACAGTGAAGAAGGTTATCTCAGATTACAAAGGGATCTTGATCCAATGGGCCATGTAGCGGCAGATGGAGTTTAATTTAGATAAATGCGAGATGATGCATTTGGTAAAACAAACAAGGGCAGGACTTACACAGTTAATGGTAGGGTCCGGGGTAGTGTTGTCAAACAGAGAAATCCAGGGATTCAGGTACATTATTCTTTGAAAGTTGCATCACAGGTAGACAGGGTGTTTAAGAAGGTGTTTGGCATGCTTGCTTTCAATGATCAGAACACTGAGTACAGGAGTTAGGACGTCATGTTGTGGTTGTACAGGACATTGGTGAGGCCACTTCTAGAGTACTGTGTACAGTTCTGGTCGCCCTGCGAAAGGAAGGATATTAATAAATTGGAAAGGGTGCAGAGAAGATTTACAAGGACGTTACTGGGACTGGAGGGTTTGAGTTATAAGGAAAGGCTGGATAGGCTGAGACTTTTTTCACTAGGGTATAGGAAGTTGAGCAGTGACCATACAGAGGTTCATAAAATCATGAGGGGCATAGATAAGATGAATAGCAAAGGTCTTTTCCCCGGGGTAGGGGAATTCAAAACTGGAGGGCATAATTTTAAGGTGACAGGAGAGAAACTTAAAAGACAGTTTGGAATGTGGATCGGCAGGGATGTGTTGCACCAAAGGTGGCGTTTCCATGTTGTATGGCTGTATGTCTCTATGTTTTAATGGAATCACTCAGTATAATTCAAGACACTGTATTATGGTATATACAGATCACGGTGCATCGGGAGTGCTGGACCAATACTTACCCCCCACTTAATGAGAGGGACACTAAAAGAATGATTCCTAGCTCCATCTCACCAATATCTCCCTTCATTCCCCACTGCAAATTACCACATAAAATGTTTGACGTCCACTTCTGGATGACCTGGAATATCCTCCAATTAAATATTTGGAACACCGAAGCCATTGCTTTTGGTCCCTGCCATCATTTCCTATCTCTAGTTGCTGATTAAACTGGGTCAGATTGAACCACACCTAACACAGCCTCATTGCCATATTTGACCCTGAGTGGGTCTTCCGACCACATATCCGTGCTACCATTCAGGTGCCTATTTCCACCACTGCTATCACCCAATTCCACTTTTCATTCAGCTGATCTGTGGCTGAAATCTCATTTGTTACCTCCAGAATTGACTGCCCCAATATACTCCAGGCTTGCCTTTCACTTCCTATCCACTGCAACCTTGGGGATATCCTCAAAACTCTGCTGCCTATGACCAAGTCCCATTCACCCATCACTCTGGAGTTCACCGACTCATACTGGCTCCTAGTTAATATAAGCATTCTCCTCCTGGTTTGCTAGTTCCTCCCTGGCCTTGTCCCTTCACATCTCTGTAATTTCCTTCAACTCTCTACTCTCTAAATATCTGTGTTCCCTAATTCTAGCCTCTTCAATATCCCCAATTTTACTTGCTCCATCGTTGATAGGTGTATTTACATTTGCGTAGGCCCTAAGCTCCTGAATTCCCTCCTGAAACCCCTCCATCTCTCTCTTTCTCCTTCTTCTGTAAAATCTACCTCTTTCACCAGGCTTTTGATCAGCTCTAGTATTGCCTTATGAGAGTCAGTGCAAATTTGGTTTTATAGCACTGCTGTGAATTGCCTTGGGATGTTTATGAAGTTAAAAACATCACCTAATCAGATGGGCTCAAGAATCTTGTCCCTTTTACATTATCTGGGTTAACAGATTGGGGAAGGCAAGAGGGTCACAAGTTTAAATTATGCTTAAGGTGGCAGTAACTGAATGCTAAATGGCTCCTCTTTACTCAGAGTAGGGTCTCTTTCAAGTACATAGGCAGCTGGAGCAGTAGATGTTGAGGCTGTGTACAAAGCTGAGAGCAAGTTGGACCTATCCCTGACTTCGGCAGAGATTACAGAAGGTAAGTGTCTTTATAAGTAACACTTGGCCCACAAAAGCCCTTAGACTGATCTTCATTTATAATGAGGTTGGAGCATAATTTTCCAGAATGTTTTTTTTCCCTTAGGAATGAGAAGGTGGGGAAGGAAGAAAGGTTAATTCAGAACGGTCTGGTTCGTGGCAGGCTTGATAAATGATGTTTCCCTGCCTGTCCATTTCATATGTTTGTAAGCAGTGACAAATATTTAATACATTGTAGCTTCCGTTGTCAATTATAATTAAACAGAAGAAGCCATCTAACCTTGCATGAAGCTTTGCAAACGCTTAGATAGAAACTGTATTTATGATACAGTAAAACAACTAGTCCATTACTTCCACTGCAAAAATGGACTCCCCCTCCCCACAGTTCAGACTGCATAAAATCTTGAACCTAATTCAATACAATTACAGAAACAGCCATTCAAGAAATGGTTGAGCTATAATCCGAGACTCAAAATATCTGCTCAGATTATCTGACGGTGTCAGACAAACTTGACACCTGCTTTATTCATGTTCAATTTAACAGATATATGTCCATACTTAATTTGACTGAAATTGCCATGTTCTTGAAGATGAATTCAGATTAAAAGCCGATTGTCAATCAGAAAAGCTGAACATGATGCTGTCTTTAAATGACTCTTACCTCGAGACTGTGGTAATGCCCTAACTTCATTGACATCAGGTTCACTGTTTGGCTGATGCACTTCTACCATTACAAAGTGCTGATTGGCTGCTGCTAACCGTGGGTGTGGCTTCTCTGTTGACCCCGGAGGAAGGAGGCCTGGATTATATGGAGGTGGATTTGGATGAGATGGTGAGAAACACTCTGAGGCATTAGACAACAACTGTGTTGGAGACTTAACTCTAGGAAAGGGTCCGATGATATGCTGGTTGACACGGGACAGCTGGGCTGTCGCCTCACCACTCATAGTTTGAGTTTTTAAGTTTTTAGTGTGTACTGTACAAACAGACTCATCTGTCAAAACAACAGAGGCAGAAGCAAGAGAATAACCATCACTTGTGGAATCCGTATCGATGATTGTGGTGGTTAACGAAGGACTGTGAGGTACTGTGAAGAAAAGGCCTGAGTGTGATGACTCTGATGAGCTCCGTTTTGGTCTGTCTCCGATTGTCTTTTGCTGTGAAGAGGCTGGATTACTGGACTCAGGTTGAAGAGGCCTATAGTTTGATGAGTTGTCAGTGAAGGGCTGCACATTATCCTAGAAAGCAAACCAGAAATAATTGGAGATATAATTATTTGGCAAATCTTCTGGAGACATCTGGTCTTACCAAATTGTGTACTTTGTTCCACTCTCCAATCAGTTGCCTGGAACCAAGATTGTAATGGAATTAAATGAACAATTATATAGTAATAGGCATGGGACATGAGATTTACTACGTTAATACTTCAAATGAGCATATCGACATGTTTGAAAAAGTCCCACACAAGAGATTGTTTCCTAAGGTTGCAGCCCACTGAACTGAGGGCAAATTACTGATCTGGACAGGAAATTGTCTGAGTGGCAGGATACAGAGTTCGAATAATGGGTAAGTACTCAAATTGGCAGGATGTGACTAGTGGTATCCCACAAGGATCTGTAACAAAAACACAAGTTGCTGGAAAAGCTCAGCAGGTCTGGCATCAGCTGTGAAGGAAAAAACAGAGTTAACGTTTCAGGTCCAGTGATCCTTCCTCAGAACTGATGGTAACACAAGGATCTGCGTTGGGGCCTCAATTATTCACTATAATCATTAACGACTTAGGGATAATGGCATAAAAAGCCAAACATGCAAATTTGCTGATGACAGAAAATTAGCATTGTAGACAGTGTTGATGACAGCATAAAATTACAACAGGATATTGATAGATTAGGTGAATGGGCAAAGCTGTGGCAGATGGATTTCAATCTAAGCTAGTGTGAAGTCATTCATTTCAGATCGTAAAATACACCAATTTTTTGGAAGGCACAACATTAAATACAATGGCTGCCTGATGAGATTTGGGGGTTCAGGTGCATAACTGTTTAAAATGTCACAAACAGGTGCAGAAAATAGTCAAGGTGGCTAATGGAATGCTGACCTTCATATCCAAAGGGCTGGAGTAATGGGATGCAGACGTTATGCTACAGTTATACAAAACCCTAGTTAGATCCCACTTGGAGTACTGTGAGCAGATCTGGGCACCACACTTTAGGAAGGATATTTTAGCTCTGGAGGCAGTTCAATGCAAATTTACAAGGATTTGAAGTGGCATAGTGGCTCAGTGGTTAGCACAGCTGCCTCACAGCACCTAGGGCCCAGGTTTGATTCCACCTGTCTGTGTGGAGTTTGCACATTTTCCCTGTGTCTGCGTGGGTTTCCTCTGGGTGCTCCGGTTTCCTCCCGCAGTCCAAAAATGTGCAGGTTAGGTGGATTGACCACGCTAAATTACCTGTAGTGTTCAGGCATGCGTAAATTAGGTGGGTTAGAGGGGGATGCGTCTGGGTGGGATGCTGTGAGAGTTGGTGTGGACTTGTTGGGTTGGAGGGCCTGTTTCCACGAGTTTAAGTCTATAATACCTGGACTTTAGGATTTGAGTGATTAGGAGAGATTAGACAAATTAGGTCTTTATTCTTTAGAATGTACAAGGTTAAAGGGTGATCTGATCGAAGTATTCAAGACATTTACGGGAAGAGACAGGGTAGATAAACTATTTTCTCTGGTTGAAGAATCTAGATCCAGGGACATCGTCTCAATGTTTCTCCTCAATATTCTTATACAAGGTATGCAGAAAACAGAATTTTTTAATTTCTGCAAAGTTACTTATTATTAATTTAATCACTGTAAGTTTTGTGGTAACCGTTGGGAATAGTTTGTTCCGTTGATGGATGGGATCATGAACTTTCAATTACAGTCGTTAGAATTCTGATTGGAGCTTCACTGACATAGTTTGATGGCTTTATTATGCAGAATAAAGAAAATAATATACTCCATTAGTATGACTAGTATAAAGTCTACCATCTGAACTGGCATCCTGTGGTTTTTTTTTGATGGGAGCTTATATAAATGAAGAATGCAAAGAGCTTCTATACAATGATTAATCTCCCTCTTTGTGCCATATTCAGTCATTGCAATGAGCCACAAAGTTAGATAATTTGATTGTACTGTTAATTTAGCTGTTAGTGGACAGATAATGAATGTTTCTATGATTGCAATCCATCAATTTATTGAAGTTAGATTTTCATGTTAAAAGTATGTGAGGTTTATCACTTTGTTCAGTAATAAAATAATGGCATACAGTGCTAATAGCAGCATGGCCACTTCATTGCATGAGTGCAGAACCGCAATAACTCGTGGAAAACTCAATAATTAAAATCTTCCTTGTAAATGGATTAGTCCAGCTATTACCCTGCAGTGTGTATAGACTTCTACACAAAGTGAGTGAATCATTTGGTTTCAAAGAATTTCTGTTTCAGGATACTGTTAATGAACTGGGGTTTATTTCAAGTTTAAAACCTACTCACCATCCCTATTAGTTACCAAACCAGTACTCATTCTGTACATTCCAGAGATTAAGCATTATCTCAAAAATTGCTTCAGCCACAAATATTGCTATTTTGAAAAGTTGCTCACACACAAAAAAAATTCAATGGTCAATACCTTTGTAATTGATTAAAATCAAATTCCTGTTGCTTCGATTGGTAGGTACATTATTGCTATTGCAAAGGGAATATAGCAGATCTGCAGCAGTTATTAGGGAGCTTACAACCATGGCATCAGCTTCTAATTTGGTTTCATTATATAGAGTTATTTTATCAATTTCTTTAAGAATTTAATGGTTTTGTAATGATCATCCTGTTTGCATTTTCATTGAAACAAAACATGTTTTACTACTTTACAGCTATTCTCGTTATTCTTGTCTTCATCCTTTCCAGAGATGTGGCCAGTTATATAGCTGGATTACCACCTGAGCCACAAGCAAATTGGCACAGGATCCCATCCATCATTAAGAGTAAAAGGGTGGCTGTAAGATTGATGTGGGAGAAATGGGTTTGAATTCATGTGATATCAGCATCAGTACTGGGGAAGGAGGGAGCTGTTCTGATGGGATGGGCTCCACCTGAACCATGCTGGGACAAAAGTCTTTGCGAATTGCTTAACTCGGGCTATTGATGGGACTTTAAACGAAATAGCAAGAGAGTGGGTTCAGGTGCATGGAAAATTATGGAAAAAGTAATGGGAGGGAGAACTGAGCCGAGGTTAAAGTTTCCAGATCAAGTAATAGAACAGAGAATATGGAAAGGGTCAGGAATCTAACTTCAGGCACAGCAGATAAGGGGACAGTCAACACAGGACTGAGGGTGTTTTACTTAAATGCATGCTGTATATGAAACAAGGTAAATGAGCTTTTAGCGCAGATTGAAATTGGCGGGTCCAATGTTGTGTGAATCATAGAAACATGGCTGAAAAGGGATCAGGGTTGGGAACTAAATGTGAAAGGGCAGGCAGATGGGCACAGGGGACAGGGTTACCTTGTTAATAAGAAATTAAATTAAATCAGTAGCAAGAAGTCTGCTTCAGAAGGTGTAGAATTTGTGTGGGTAGAGTTAAGGAACTGCAAAGGGAAAAAGGAATTACGTACAGGCCCCCTAGCAGTAGTCAGGAAGTGGGGGAGAAAATAAATCAGGTGATAGAAACGGTGTGTAAGAAAGCCCCTATTACAATAATTATAGGACTTCAATGTGCAGATGGCTTGGGAAAATCAGGTTGGTAGCAGATTCCAAGAAAAGGAATTCAAGGAATGTCTATGAGACGTTTTTTTGGAGCAGTTTGTGGTAGACCACACTCGGGAGCAGGCAATTCTGGATTTAATGATGTGTAATGAGGCAGACTTGTTTAGGGAGCTTAAGGTGAAGGAAGCCTTAGGAGACAATGACCATAATATGATAGAATTCATCCTGCAATTCAAGAGGGAGAAGATTGAATCCGATGTAATGGTATTAAAGTTGAGAAAAGACATGAGGGAGGAGCTGGCCAGTGTTGGTTGGAAGGGGAGCCTAGTAGAGTAGATGAGGGACCCGCAATGACAGGGGTTTCAGGAGCCACAACATAAATCTTTCCAAGGAAGAAGAAACATGATAAGGGGAGGATGAGGCAACCATGGCTGACAAGGGAAGTCAGGGTCAGCATAAAAGCAAATTAAAAAGCATATAATGTGGGGAAGATTAATGGGAAGCCAGAGGATTGGGAAGCCTTTAAAAACCAGCAGAGACTAACTAAAAAAGCAATAAAGGGGGAGAAAATGAATTATGACAGTAAGCCAGCTAGTAAAATGAAAGAGATTAACATTAACATTTAGGACATCCATTCAAAAGTCTGGTAATAGCAGGGAAGAAACTGCTCTTGAATCTGTCCATACGTGTATTCAAACTTTTATTTCTTCTGCCTGAAGTAAGAGGGTGGAGGAGAGTATAACTGGGGTGGGAAGGGTCCTTGATTACATTGGTTGCTTTCTCAATGCGGCAGGAAATGTAGATAGCGTCAATGGATGGAAGGCCGGTTTATGTGATGGATTGGACTATGCACACAACTCTGTAATTTCTTGCAGCGTTGGGACGAATAGTTGCCATACCAAGCTGTGATGCATCCCGGCCGCAGTCCAGATGGTGCATCTATAAAAATTGGTGAGAGTCCTTATGAACATGCCGAATTTCCTGGGCTACCTGAGGAAGTAGAGGTGTTGTTGTGCTTTCTTGACCAGTGTCAACATGGGTGGACCAGGACAGATTATTGGACAAATTGTTCCACTCCCTGGAACTTGATGCTCTCGACCGTTGCCCTCCACTCTGCTTCCTGAAATCAATGACCTGCTCCTTCATTTTGCTGATGTTGATGGATAAATTGTTGTCTTTACACCATGCCACTGAGCACTCTATCTCCTTCCTGTATTCCATCTCGTCATCGTTTTGAGATCCGACCTACGATGGTGGTGTTGTCAGCAAACTTGTGAATGGAGTTGGTACTGAATCTGGCTGAACAGTTTTGAGTGAATAAGGAGTATAGAAGGGCGCTAAGTGTGCAACCTTGCAAGGCACTGGTGTTGAGAATTATTGTGGCGGAGGTGTTGTTGCTTATCCTTACTGATTGCGATCTGTTGGTCAGGAAGTTGAGAATCCGGTTACAGAATGGGGAGAGCTAAGTTCTAGAGTTTGGATATAATTGTTTCGAATTATGGTGTTGAAGTAATCGTTTAGTAGGATCCTGATGCCGATATCCTTGTTGTCCAGATGTTCCAGGGATTAGCGTGGGGTGAGGGAGATTGAATCTACCATGGACCTATTGCATCAGTAGGTGAATTGCAAGGGATCAAGGCAGTCTGGGAGGCTGGAGTTAATGTGTGCCATGACCAATCTCTTGGACAACTTTAAATTATGGAGGTCTGAGCCACCAGGTATTGGTTACTGAGGTACGCTGAATGGTTTTTCTTTGGCACCAAGATGAAGGAGGTCTTCTTGAAGCGGATGGGGACTTCAGATTGTAGAGGTAGAGGATCATAAGTAGAGGATTGGCTGACTGGCAGAGAGTAGGGATAAAGGGATCTTTTTCAGGATGGCAGCCAGTGACTAGTGCAATTCTACAGGAGTCAGTGTTGGCCCACAACTATTCATGTTATATGTTAATGATCTGGACAAAGGAACTGAGGGCAGCTGACCAGGTCTGAACAAAATTAGAGGAGTTGTAAAACCAGTGTGGCAGTCAATCTGATCAATGTTGGATTAGGTTAAAACTGCCAACATGACCTAGCACTCAAGACTGAAGAAGTTTCTGTTTCAAATAAATAAGAAATAAAGAAAATAAGACTTACATTTACACAAGCTTAGGATGTCCCAAAGCACTTTGAAGCAGTTATGTACTTTTAAAGATTATTCACTGCGGTAATGTTGGAAAGCTGACAACCAGTTTGCACTCAATAAGTTCTCAAACAGCGATGCTATAGCCAGTAAATAATTTGTTTTTGTAACACTGTGTTTGTTAACAATTAGCAAGAACAACTAGAAGATTTTACTTAAAAACTGTCAAAATAGTGCCAAGGGATATTTTGCATCCCTTGGTTTAATGCCTTATCCAAGAAGTTGTCTCCCTCTGCATAAATCTTGCTAGCTATGCTACTGGAACTTATCAATGGTGCATTTTGTAGTTGATGGCTCAGCCCCAAACTAGGGAGAGTTTTCTGAGATGCAAATGAGGAAGAATTGTGGCCAGAAAGTTGAAATTTTCCAAATGCTACGAGCTCCAGAGTGTGTGTGCACTTTGTCCTCCTCTTCCTGATTGAAAGGCTTGGCTTCCTGTCAGGCAGAAAATACTTCAGAGGAGATTGCAGATCAAGACTAGCTAGGGATGCTGTTGCTGCATTGCTGGCAGCATGGGAGCAGGGCTGCCTCCAGATCTAGTGAGCTGCGTACATTTTGCATATATGCAACAGGAATATTCAATGTTGCAGAATCCACAATCCAGTGGTGATGGGTGTATCTGCTTCTGCCTGGAGCTGATCCTAGTGGGTGGGAGGGCCAAACAGATTAAGCTTGGGGTTCCTGTTCTTGCTGCTCCAAGAGCAATACTGGGAATGTGCCTACCACATAGCAACAATCACCTCCCTTTAGTTGCTATGGTCCCTGAGTAGCAGGAAACCCAGCAGGCAGGGTCAAAGCTGTGTGTGTGTGACATTGGGTGGAGGAAAGAAAATCTGGGGCAATCAGTTTGCCTGCCCAGACCTCACCAAACCACTCCGCCCCCACCCCCACCCCACTTCAGATAAAACCAGGAGTCCGAGGATTATGTTTGGTGAGAAATGTTGACAATTTTCACAGTGCACCCGACCTAAATTGTTCCCTTTTGTTTGGTGTTAATATTCCCCTCCACCTCTTTGTGTTTCTTTTTATTCCCTTTTGTTTTCTGAATCACTGTCTCTGTGCTGTTTTTGTTCCAGCAGCAGTGTATGTGAAGGACACTTAAAAGCACAAATGACTATGAAATGAACATAATTGGCATTGGGCCAATTATTCTGATTCAACAATATAATTTTGTACTTTATTAAAATGCCATTGAATTAAACTCACAGTCGGCCCAATCTATTTCCTTCCTTGATCTTTTACAGCCTATTCAGTTGCCAAAATTTGTGTCATGACCTTCATTTGTTCAAATAAATGCAGAATGATTAATACTTTTCAAAACTATCCAAGAAAAGTTATACATTTAAAATCAAACTGCAGTACCTAATTGTTGCCCAGGAAGTTTTGATTAAATTGAACAGTCTCCGAGATAAGCAGGCATCCTGATGACAAAGTTATTTTTTTTTCAGTGTGTTTCAACATTCCTTCTGCTGTTATTATCTTACTTTATATAACTTCAAATGAGCTGATTACAACAAATATATAATAATGATAAATGTTAATTCTACTGCTTGAAAAACGAGCATCACATTCTATCTTTTCAATGGAGAAAAGACATAATGTTACACGGCAGTTGAGCTGTACAATTTAGAGTAAAATACTCACAAGAGAGATGTCTGGCAAATTTCCACTATCTCCTTCCAGTTGGTCATTTGTTCCTGTAAGATCTGTGTCATTCTGTGTGCAAGAAAAGTGTCAATTCACTGATTAGACCATATCCTCTCAATTAGACCAGTGCTTATTCTAGTACAGCCTTGAACTGCAGACTCCCGTGGTAATACATTTTTATAATTGATTTAGTTTGCATACACTTTAGAGGAAGAAAACATTCTTCAAAAATCATGGGAATGTTTTTAACTGTGCTGTAATGGGGGATGCTTATTATGCTGTCCAATGCACACTGCGGCCAATATTTCTTTCCTTCAAACTCAACAGAAGCAAATATTGGGCAGGGCATATTCACCTTCATCAAAGTTAAAATCAGTCTCCCCACAATGGAATCTTAAGGTTCTGAAGTTTGAAATGTTGGCATCAATATTGTATCCCTTATCTTTTTGAAAGCAATAAGTTGGTCTATATATTTCCAACACTACTGCCCATCAAAGTGAAAAGATTTGACACCAAGGAAAGCAGAACAGAAATGTTCTGCTACAAGTTCTCACCACAGCGTGAGATTGTGGTTACATTCAGAAAAGTTTGAGACTGGATGATAAGACTGAACTTGTGAGCTCTATACACAGTACAGACATTGAAAATATTGTCCTGAAATCTATATATATATCTTCTGCTCAGCTATAATCCAGCATATTTCTTGCTAAATGTGTTGTTTCAGTATGTGGTTCTATATTGTGCCCATTTATACTCACTCAGACTGCACTTATAGAGTTCCCATTTTTGCAATGTTATTGTAATATCCATTTTCAGTCAATTAAACACACTTTCAATAAAAACAAGTTATGAGCAACAACTGATGAAAGAAAATCTTATCAATTCTTAGCCTCAATCTCATTCAACCACATCCAGTAGTGATTGGAGTACTTCATTTGATTCATTAAAAAACTGGGTTAGAAGTTACCTACCCATTCAACCATCTGGTCTGTGATCTAAAAATACAAGTTTTCTCACTTACTGCTTCAGCAAAATTTACAGTCCAAAAATAGTTGAGATGGTGATGTAATGGGAACAATGGGTGGACTTTTCACATCATCAAAATCTGTCCTAAGACCTGGACTAGGTGATCCAGACAGTGAACTCCTCCCAATTGCTGAGAATGCAGAAAGATCAACCAGAGAAGGATACATAATTCCAAAAAGGTCATCTCTGACTGAAACTGTGACTACATCAAGTAAATCATGCACAGTATTGTCTCCATATTTAAGAAAGAATGTATAGGAAGAATGTTATAAATTTGAGAAGGTTTAGAAAAGATTTACCAGGATGTTGCTGGGACTGCAGGGTTTCAGTTAGAAGGAAAGGCTGGATAAGCTGGGACTTCTTTTACTGAACAATAGGAGGTGAGGGATGATTTTAGAGGTTTATAAAATTATGAGGGGCATAGACAAGGTGGGGGTGGGTGTGTTCAAAAGCTAGAGAACATATTTTTAAGGTGGCAGAATGATTTAAAGGGGACCTGAGGGGCAATGTTTTTACACAGAGATGAGTTCATACGTGGAATGAACTGCCAGAGGAAATCATGATGTGAAGGTGCCATTGTTGGACTGGGCCGACAAAGTCAGAACTCACACGACACCAGGTTACAGTCCAACAGGGCAGCCCCTTCAACAGGTGAAGTGAAAGAGAAGCACACAGGCACAGAATTTATAGGCGGGGAGATCAAAGGCAGAGAGATCAAAAGGTCATAAAACTGGTGTGAGTGGAGTGTCGAATAATAAGTCTGTGCAGGTGACCAGGAGTGTTAGACGATGAGTAAAGTGTCAACAACTGAATAACAAGCGAAAGAATGACCTATAATCTGATTAAATGAGGCAGAGAGATAATTACAAAAAAAATAAAAATAAGGTGGTACTGGAGACAAACTAAATGACTGGAAAAATATGCTAGGTATAACAGTTGTGTGCTGAGGGTCTAACCAAAGTAATAAGTAATCCAAAGCTGTGCAAACTAATTAATGTAGAGAGATCATAACAATTTATCAAAGTGCTGATGTCAAAACAGGACAGTAAGGAAGATTTTACAGATACAGAACAGTGTGGTGGAGTCACAGGTAACATGACATAAACCCAAGATCACAGTTGATGCCATCTTTTTGGGTACATAACTTGGCTATCAGTCTCTGCTTGGCAACTCTGCGTTGTTGTGTATCTCGAAATCTGCCTTGGAGGATGATTACCCGAAGATCGGAGGCTGAATGTCCTTGACCACTGAAGTGTTCCCCAACTGGGAGGGAACATTCCTGTCTGGCAATTGTTGAGTGGTGTCCAGTCATCTACCGTTGTAGCATCTGCATGGTCTCACCAATATACCATGCCTCAGGGCATCCTTGCCTGCGGGGCATGAGACAGACAACATTGGCCGAGTATCTGCCATGTACGTGGTAGATGGTGTTCCCGTGTGTAATGGCAGTACCCATGTCGATGATCTGACATGTCCTGCAGAGGTTGCCATGGCAAGGTTGTATGGTGTCATGGTCGATGTTGTCCGGAAGGCCATGAACAATAGTCTGTTTAAGGTTTAAAAACCAAAAGACCTGCAGATGCTTTAAATCAGGAACAAAAACAGAAGTTGCTGGAAAAACCCAGCAGGCCTGGCAGCATCTGTGGAGAAAAATCCTGGATTATACCTCGTCACACCCTGCTTCCTGTAAAGACTCCATGCCATTCTCTCAGTTCCTCTGTCTCCGTCATATATGTTCAGATGAGGCCAGCTTCGACAAGGGAGCCTCCGCAATGTCCACCTTCATAGAATCATAGAATCCCTACAGTATGGAAACAGGCCTTTCGGCCCAACAAGTCCACACCGAACCTTGGAGCATCCCACCCAGACCCATCCTCCTATAACCCACTTAATCAACACATCCCTGAACACTATGGGCAATTTAGCATGACCAATCCACCTAGACTGCACATCTTTGGACTGTGGAAGGAAACCGGACCACTCAGAGGAAACCCACGCAGACACAGGGAGAATGTGCAAACTCCACACAGAAAGTCACCCAAGGGTGGAATCATCTTCTTCCTCAACCGAGGATTCCCCAGCTCCGTTGTCAACAAGGCCCTCAACCGAGTCTGACCCATTTCCCTCACTTCCACAGTCACCCCCTCTCTCTTCCCTCCAGCAACAGCAATAGGGTTCTCCTTGTCCTTACCTACCATCCCACCAGCATCCACATCCAGAAGATCATCAGATGCCATTTCTGCTACCTCCAGCAAGATGCCACCACCAGACACATCTTCCCCTCCCCTCCCTTGTCCGCCTTCCACAGGGACCGTTCCCTCCGGGACACACAGATCCACTCTTCCTTCACCCCCAGCACCCCACCACAGCCCCACAGCATCTTCCCTTGCAGCGGCGAAGGTGCAACACCTGCCCATTTACTTCCTCCCTCCCACTATCCAAGGGCCCAAACATACCTTCCAGGTGAAGCAACATTTCACCCGCACTTCCCAGAATCTAGTCTACTGCATTTGCTGTTTACAATGTGGTCTTCCTTACATTGGGGAAACGAAGCGTAGATTGGGTGACTGCTTTGCGTTACATCTATGTTCTGCTTGCAAAAAAGACCCTAAGCCTGCCACTTCAGCACATCATCCTGCTCGTTGGCCAAGATCTGTCTCTGGCTTGCTGCAGTGTTCCAGCGAAGCTCAATGCAAGCTGGAAGAACAACACCTCATTTCCACTTGGGGACTTGCAGCGGACTCAGTATTGAGTTCAATCATTTTAGGGCCTAAACTCTTCCATGTTCTAGTCCCCTGCCCCACACACCAGGCCTTGTTGTCACAGCCTACCACTACACACTACCTATTGTTAGTCACCAACAGTTCCCATTAACAACTATTCACCCTCCAAGCAAGATCATTATCAATTCATTTGTCTATCCAACTGCTCTTCTCTCTCTTCGGGCTCTATCCTATCACTTACTCCCTACCCCATCCCCCTCCCTATATTCTGCATATAAACCGACGATTTCCCAGCTACCAGCTGTTCTGAAGAAGGGTCACCGGACCCGAAACGTTAACTCTGAATTTTCTCTCCACAGATGCTGCCAGACCTGCTGAGCTTTTCCAGCAACTTCTGTTTTTGTTTCAGCTTAACGTTTGGCAGTTGTTTCAAGGTGAGAAGTGAAGGCGTAGTGAAGATCTTGGTGAAATGCTTATCGTCATCGATGAAATGTTGAAGGCTGTGGAGAACATGGTGTAGTCTCTCCACTCCGGGGAAGTACTGGACGACATAGGGTACTCTACTGGTTGTATCCTGTGTCTGTCTTCTGAGGAGGTCATTGTGGTTTCTTTCTGTGGCACGTTGGAACTGGCGATCAATAAGTTGAGCATCGTATCCTGTTCTTATGAAGGCGTCCTCCAAAATTTTTAGGTGTCCGTCACGTTCCTCCTCATCTGAGCAGATCCTTTGTATGCTCACGACTTCTCCATAGGGGATGGCTTCTTTAATATGTTTAGAGTGGAAGCTAGAGAAGTGCAGCATCGTGAGGTTATCCGTGGGCTTGTGGTAGAGCAAGGCACTGAGATGTCCGTCCTTGTTGGAGATGAGTGTCCAAGAATGAGACTGATTCTGAAGAGTAGTCCATGGTAAATCTGAGGGTGGGATGAAACTTGTTGATATCTCTATGTCGTCATTTCAGTGATTCCTTGCCACGCGTCTAAAGGACGAAAATGTTGTCAATGTATCTGTTGTATAGCATTGGTCAGAGGTCCTGCACAGCAAAGAAGTCTTGCTCGAACATGTACATGAAACTGTTGGCGTATTGGTCCCCATGGCTGTTACGTGTGTCAGGATGAAGAACTGGTTTTCGAAGGTGAAGGCGGGGTGTTTGAGGATGAAGTGGATGAGTTGTAGGATGGCATCAGGAAATTGGCTGTTGCAGCGATTTTTTTCCCTCTGCCTCATTTAATCAGATTATAGGTCATTCCTTCGCTTGACACTTTACTCACACCATCTAACACTCTTGGTCTCCTACAGAGACTTATTATTTGACACTCCTG